ATCCATGTCCTTCGAGATGGCCCCAAGAGCGCTCCCAAGGCTCCCATGAACTCTTCGAAGCGACCAGGAGGCCCCAGAAGGCCCCAACAGGCGCCCAAGAGGCCTCCCGAAGACCTCCACAGGAGGCTCCCAAGAGACCCCCAAGAGGCCCCCAGAAGTTCTCCAAACCACCTAAGACGCTGGCGTCCGGGACCGCCAAGAGGCCTAGAAGACGCCCTAAGAGGCCTCCACTGGGGGACCGTTCCTCTGTGTGCTGCCCATTCCCCTGATCGAGGCAATTCATATGTGCATCGTTCCGCGCGCCGTCCAAGGCTACAGCTAACAGGCAGGAGCCTAAATTGCACACGAGAGAGAGAGAGAGAGAGAGAGAAAGAAAGAAAGAAAGAAAGAGGAACAGAGAGACAACACAAAAACAGCGGGAGGTGAGACTAGCCGGGGCGGGCCGCGCGGCGCTCACCGACGGGGTGCCATCGGCAGCCAGCAACCGCCGGAGGTGCACGCCAAAGTGGCGGGTAATTAACTGGCAACCTGGTGTCCCGTGAATGCGGCGTGGGGCAACCCCGCGGGAGATCGCGGAAGCCGCAAGCGCCGGCGCCTGTGCGAGGGGCAGCACGCGGGGGGTTGAGCGCGGCAAGGGCGATGCATCCTTGCAAGGGGAGCAAGCCTTCAGGTGCGTCTAAACCAATGTGGGTGGCGGCGGATCGAGTGACTGGCGACGATCAAACAGCAGTTCGCGCCGTGGAACAGGCACGTCGCAAGCAGACTGAAGGCAGTCAGCCGCGCGTCGACACCAGTGAAAAGGCCAACTGGCATGCAGGCGCTCGACGGACGGGAGTCCCGATCGCCAAGACCGGAGTCCGACTGAGGTGTCGGATCCCGCTCGGGGAGCAGAAACGAACGCCACCCACGTGGTAGGGGGCGGACCGAGTGGCCGGCGGGCCCCAGGCAAGCGTCGGAGGGCCGCCGCAGGCCGAGAGCCAGCTGGTGGGGTTACTCTTTTGGTCGCGGCCGCGAGCGAAGAGCGCAGGCGGCGAACAGGGTGTCCGGGCCGACGGGCAAGCATAATTAGCTACTGGGCGCGACACAAGCCGGCCGGGCCAGCTCACAAGGACTGGTGGGGTTACTTTTTTTGGTCGCGGCCGCGAGCGAAGAACGCAGGCGGCGAACAGGGGGTCCGGGCCGACGGGCAAACCGAATTAGCTGCTGAAGGCGCGCCGCAGGCCGGCCGGCCCACTCACCAAGCAGCAGCGGGGCTGCGCGGGAGGCTGGCAGCTGGGGGCATCCAGGGAAGCTCAGGCACGCGCGGTCTGACAAAATGCAGCGAAATTCGGTGCATGCCGTGAGGCATAACCCACACAGACGACGCGGGGACGTGCACGAACGTGTCGACGTGTCCATCCTGCTGGGTGGGCGTTCAGGCGAGAAGAACGGTGGGCGAATCGCCAGTGGGGCACCAGGCCCAGGGCCGTCCCAACAACGCGTGCGGGCTAGGGACGTCGCAAACCTGCCTGAAGAGGGGGATGAGTCCAGGGTGCTGTCGCGACTGCAGAAGGCTAAACCACTCCGGCGCGACCACAGTACCCAAGGGGTCTTCGTCCCGTGCCCGTGCGAGGCCCGGACGTCAGTGGGCCGGCACTGGTGTTTTTTTTTGTTGGCGGCTCCCTGGCGAAGGTCAAGAAGCGGGGGGCGTCGAACGGGGCGCGAAACGAAGATAATTGGCCGAAGAGGCGCATGCACATGCAAAGGACAAAATGACCCAAACTAAACGCCGAAGTCCGGCGGTCCGGCGCCGACATCCCGGCGGGCGGGGACGCCGCGGCGCAGCGAGCGGCGGCATTGGCGGTACAGCGTGGCCAGGTGATCGAGCCAAGCACCCCGACGGGCGGGGGCAGCACGGCGACCAACGCTGGAACGGTACTGGAACAGCCGGGAGAAGTCGCCCTGGCGGCGCCTGTCTCTGGCCGAACGACACACGGAAGCGAGGCCAGGAAGGGGGGGAGGGAGCCGGTGCGGACGTCAGCCGGGGCACACAACATCACCAAGAAAAAAAATGCGGCAGGCAGAGAACGGCCTCACTCACCATGGCTCACTGACGCAGAGGTGCGGCTGAAGCCCGTCCTTGCCCATGAGAAGGGGGCGACCCCGGTCAGCGCACACACTGGTGGGGGTACGCGGAGCGTCTAGAATTCGCGCAGCTTTGCCCCGCCTCGCTCGTGCGCACGTCGCGCACAAAACGAAACGATGTCACTCTCTGGGGACATCGCGGTTAACTTCGGTCTCGTCCCCCAACCTCCAGTATAAATGTAAAGAGAGAGGGACGTATAGCTTCTCTGTAAATGTCAATGTGGCAACGCCCCCTCCAACAAATTCATCCAGCGCCCGTCATACTCGTCCTCCTCTGATTCCCCCTCATCTTCCTACTCCTGCGCCTCCTCTTCCTGCGTCATCCTCGTCATCATCCTCACTTTCATCATTCTACTCCTGATCCTGATCCTCCTCTCCCGCGTAGTAATATCCCTCTTCCTCCTCCTCGTGGCCACTTGCTCCTCCTGCTCCTCATCCTTCGTTTCTCCTCATACTGCTCCTCGATGCCACGCCTGCCATGCCCTGGACGACAGTCGTGCATAGCGGCCGCGCTGAGGGACCACCCCCTGCGCACCCCCTATGGTGTCTAGAAAATACCACGCCTGCTATGCCCTGGACGACCGTCGTGCATAGCGGCCGCGCTGAGGGAACACTCCCTGCCCACCCCCTACGATGTTGAGAAAATGCCACGCCTGCTATGCCCTGGACGACAGTCGTGCATAGCGGCCGCGCTGAGGGACCACCCCCTGCGCACCCCCTGTGGTGTCGAGAACATGCCACGCCTGCTATGCCCTGGTGCTGTGATGTGCCGAGCTGAGCTGTGCTGTGCTGAGCTGAGCTTTGCTGTGCTCTGCTGTGCTGAGCTGAGTTGTGCTGAGCAGTGCTGCGCTGTGCTGTGCTGTGCTGCGCTGTGCTGCGCTGTGCTGCGCTGTGATGGGAGAGGGAGGAGAGGGAGGAGGACGGTGGGGTGTGAAAGCCGCGGGTGCGACGAGGCAAGGAAGAAAACCATAACCCCACAAAACATGTGGGGAAAAACAAGAACTGGACGCGCGACGCGGCATGAAACAAAACAAGGGACGCCCTGGAACAGCAGGGGGAAGATCTGGGGGAAGATCTGTCGGGAGATCTGGGGAATGTCCAATGAAAGATTTGGCGCGGTGGCAAAGCGATAAACCTGGAGGAATATTTGGCGGAAGGTCTGGGGGAGATCTGAGGGAACATCTCGGACATAATATTTGGCGGGAAGTCTGGAGGAAGATCTGGAGGAACAGCTAGGGGAAGATCTGGTGGAAGATGTGGGCGAAAATCTGGGGAATGTGCTGAAGGAGATTTGGCGGTGTAGTGCGTCGCAAATCTGCAGCAATGCTTGCGGGAAGATCTCGTGAAGATCTGGAGAGAGATCTGAGGGAGAAGATATGGGGAAACATCTGGGGGAAGACCTGGGTGAAGACCTGGAGGACGATCTGGAAGAAGATCTGGGGGAAGATTTGACTCAATATCTGGGTGAGCATATTGGGGAAACATAGAACAAGCTCTGCGGAACAACCTCGGGAAGGATCAGAGGAAAGATCTGGGCGACGATTTGGAGGAAGATCTGGGGGAAGATCTGGAGGAAGATCTTGGGAAACATCCGGGGAGAGATTTGGGGAAAGATCTAGGAGAGAATCTGGGGTAATATCTGGGGGAAGATCTGGGCGAAAATCTGGAGGAACATGTGGAAGAAGATCTGGGTGAAGATCTGGGGGAAAAGCTGAAGGAACATCTAAAGGGAGATCTGGGGGAAGCTCTGGGGGAAGACCTGGGTGAAGACCTGGAGGACGATCTGGAAGAAGATCTGGGGGAAGATTTGACTCAATATCTGGGTGAGCATATTGGGGAAACATAGAACAAGCTCTGCGGAACAACCTCGGGAAGGATCAGAGGAAAGATCTGGGCGACGATTTGGAGGAAGATCTGGGGGAAGATCTGGCGGAAGATCTTGGGAAACATCCGGGGAGAGATTTGGGGAAAGATCTAGGAGAGAATCTGGGGTAATATCTGGGGGAAGATCTGGGCGAAAATCTGGAGGAACATGTGGAAGAAGATCTGGGTGAAGATCTGGGGGAAAAGCTGAAGGAACATCTAAAGGGAGATCTGGGGGAAGCTCTGGGGGAAGATCTGGGAAAAGATCTGGGGGAAGATCTGGGGGAAGAGCAGGAACAATATCTGGGGGAAGATCTGGGGGGAGATCTGGGGGAAGATCTGGAGGAAGATCTGGGGCAAGACCTGGAGAAAGATTTAGGGAAAGATCTGAGGGAACATCTGGGGGGAGATATGGGGGAAGATCTGGGGAAATGGGGGAAGATTTGGGAACATATCTAGAGGAAGATCTGGGGGAAGATCTGGGGGAAGCTCGAACCTCCGCGCTGGTGGTCATCACTATGAGAGCACACTGGAAGCAACGATGGGCGACGATAACATCGACGGCGAAATGGGGACATTGAAGATAACTCGCTGGCCCAAGGGGCCGACGGTGTGCTAGAATCACCCGTAAGAGGTTCAGAGTGCTGGTGTATTTCATCAGTTCGCGCGCGCGAAGAGTCCCTCCGCACTTACGTCCCCCTTGCCCTTTGGGCGCTGGTGGCCGGAGAGGGTAAATCTTCCAGCCTCTTTCTGATCCTTCGGGAAAAGGTTTAGGCCCCCAAGGCCCCGAGAGGGTCCAAGGCTTCCCCGAGAGAGCCCCACAGGCTTCCAAAATGGTCCCAAGAAGCCCATGATCGCTCCAAGAGACCTCCAAGAGGCTCCCCGAGCGTGACTGCATGTTGCTACAATTCCGACGTCCGCGATCGGGACCACTCGCCTGGTGATTGCTTTTGGATGGGCTGGTGGGGATGTGCGAAGAATCAAGAAGAACATGCTGCCCTTTTGTGAACCATCTAACGGAAATTTGCCATGACAACCGACGCGCTGTCAGACGGGCTTACACCCTCACTGCTGTTCATCGATGGGGAGTCGCATTCGGGATGCAGATCTTCAGCGATTGTAGATAGATCCTGACTGAAACGAGCCCTGGCACGGTTTGTGTAACACTGCCTCCGCGAAATCACCACATCCTCCAAACACAGCGTGGCTGGTAACGAAATGGCACCAGCGTCGTTCTCCTCAGGATCCTCGGTTACGATGAAAGCTCGCTTTGCTACGACTTTGATCGCTGGTGCTGGGGGGATGAAAAGCTCAACATGCTCAAGATACCTTGAACAAACCCCAGGCTCGACACTAATGTTCACTGCGTCAATGATCCACTTCTCGACCCGGTCTCGCGCAACACGTGGGAACCAACGTACCAGCTGCCCCTGGCGAGCCAACAAGTGACGGCTGCAGTCACCGTCGCTGATGAGCAAACTCGGGTGGCCAGCATCGAACGAAATGTGTAACGCATCCACCGTCTCTGCCGAACCCCGGCATCCGCCACTGCCAGCCGCGTCGTTCTGCATCGGCGCGCGCCCGCCCTCGTCCAGCGCCGCTGGCTGTGCACGCGAATCTTCCTGGAAGGCTGTTGGCGGCGAGCGAGGGGTGGAAGTGAGAAGTAGAAGGCCTTCTTAGAAGGCGGCGGGACTTCTCAGAAACCTTCGCGCCTTCAGAAAAATGCTCCGTGTCTTGGGGGAAGGCTTAGCGAAACGGGGACTTTCGAACCTCTTTCTCGTTCCCCCCCCTCGCTCACCGACGAAGCTGGCGAGGGAAAAAGCAGGCGATCCACGTCTCGGCTCTCCAGGCTCGAGTACCCGCCGTCGAGCGGCCTGGCGCCAGAGGGGCCGGGCCCCATGGGGCCCGCGACCTCCTCGGCGAGGCCCCTCTTGGTAATTCTTACCTCGCCGACCCTCTGGAAGCTGATGCTCGGGGAGACGCAAGGCTCGGGTTCGAGGGGCGCGGGCTGGCCTGAATGGGGCCATCATGAACATGACGAGGCCCAGACTGAAACTTGATGCGAACTCCCGCTGCAAATATCCTATGGAAACTGGACCGTCAAATAGCCTGACGAACGACCCAACCTAGTGCAACTGCGAGTACCGCTTTGTGGGTACCGCTTTCGGTGGAGCTCCCTGTTGGGCCACGAACCGTGTGAAGGGGGGTGCCAAAATGGGTGGCAGTCCCCGCATGCGGCCTGTGGCACTGGGGCCTTCGGTGGAGCCACCCGTGGGGCCACGGACCGTGTGAGGGGTGTGCCAAAATTGGTGGCGGTCCCCGCATCCTGTGCCGCTTGGGCCTTCGGTGGAGCTCCCCGTAGGGCCACGGACCGTGTGAGGGGTGTGCCAAAATGGGTGGCGGTCCCCGCGTGCGGCCTGTGCCGCTTGGGCCTTCGGTGGAGCCACCTGTGGAACCACGAACCGTGTGAGGGGTGTGCCAAAATGGGTGGCGGTCCCCGCATGCGGCCTGTGCCGCTGGGGCCTTCGGTGGAGCCACCTGTGGAGCCACGAACCGTGTGAGGGGTGTGCCAAAATGGGCGGTGGTCCCCGCGTGCGGCCTGTGCCTCTGGGGCCTTCGGTGGAGCTCCCTGTGGGGCCACGAACTGTGTGCTGGGTGTGCCAAAATGGGTGGCGGTCCCCGCATGCGGCCTGTGCCTCTGGGGCCTTCGGTGGAGCTCCCTGCGGGACCACGAGCCGCCTGAAAGGTGTGCCAAAATGGCGGCGGTCCCTGCATGCGGCCTGTGCCACTGGGGCCTTCGGTGGAGCTCCGTGTGGGGCCACGAACCGTGTGAAGGGGGGTGCCAAAATGGGTGGCGGTCCCCGCGTGCGGCCTGTGCCACTGGGGCCTTTGGTGGAACTCCCCGTGGGGCCACGAACCGTGTGAGGGGTGTGCCAAAATGGGTGGCGGTCCCCGCATGCGGCCTGTGCCGCTGGGGCCTTCGGTGGAGCCACCTGTGGAGCCACGAACCGTGTGAGGGGTGTGCCAAAATAGGTGGCGGCCCACGCATGCGGACCCTGCGGAGGGGGTAGAGGGAGGAGTCACGCGGGGCGCTGTCTCTGCAAAATGAAGACCCAACACCACAGGCTGGTTGCGAAAAACAACTCAGGCTCCCCCAGACACCATGAATGGCATATCACCAGTACCTCGCGGAGGAGGAGGAGGAGGAGGAGGAGGAGGAGGAGGAGGAGGAGGAGGAGGAAGGGGAGGAGGAGTGCGGAGGAGGTGACGCGGGGCGCTGTCTCTTCAAAACGGGACCGAACATCACAGGATGGCTGGGAAAAACCCAGGACGCGCTCGTCAAAGAGCGTCGGCCAACCCGAGTTCTGGCACACTCGAGTCTTACGTATCCCAGAGATGTGTATGTCCGCCCCAGTGGCCCGGTAGGGCACCAAACGCGCGTCGAATTCCAGCGGCTGCCGCCCCTCGCCAAGAGCCTGGGTGAAGGTGGCCAGCACCGGCTCTGCCACGTCCCACTGGCTATCGTCGTACAGGCGCGCGACCTTCCAGCGATCCTCCGGGCCGACGGCGTCCAGTATCTGCGTTCCCCGCGGGTCTCCGCCAAGGAGACGCAGGAGACTTTCGCTGACGTGTGAGATGGTTCCCTCCTGCCTCCTCACCGTGCAATAGCCATCAGTCGTTTTGTCGAGCAACGTCTGCATGGCGCCTAGCTGCTCCCTCGACTCGTTGAAATACGATGCCAGGAGCCACTCGAACACAGTCAGCACGATGGTGATCATGCCTACTTGGCTGATGACCTCAGGCGCACAGCTCACAGAGACCAGAACACAAAGAAGCAATCCACAGCAAGCAGCGTAAATTGTGACGAACAGAGAATGGACGCCCGCAGCATGGCACATAACTACTTTGATCGTCAAAGTTGCAGTCCACGGGTAACGCTCAAGACTAGAGTGTGCATCCTTGCTTTGTTGCCAAATTACCACAGTCGCCCAAAGCTCGAGAAACAAATAAATGACAACTAACGCATCTGACTTCAACGTCATCACGGGACAGCGCGCGAACAAGACTGCCAGAACATATTCGCTCACATAATAAGCAAACACACCACACCAAAACCAATCCGCCAACGTGCCGTTGGGCACAGAGTGGGCGTGTCCTCAGGTCCTTTCCCTAATCCTCTGCGCCTCAGACCTCAATCCTAAAGCGTCTTCACAAGGGCCCGGACTCCAAATCCTGAAATCTGTTGGGGCGTGTCGCTTCTTGTCGCTTGACTTTTTCGGAAACAAAAAGGCCTCAAGACCGGCCAAAGGACCCAAGAGGCCACAAAACGATCCAAGAGGGCCCCGAGTCGCCGAATCATCGCTCCAAACACTCAAAATGGCCCCAAGACGGCCCAAGAGGCCTTCAGGATTTCCCAGGAGGCCTCCAAGAGGCTTCTCGAGAGGGCCCCAAGAGGCCCAAATCATTGAATTCCAAGAAAGGTCGTTGAAAGATTTGGGCGCTCTCGCCATTTCGGCTTCACGACGCTCCAAGATGGCCCACGAGGCCCCCAAGATCGCCCCAAGACGGCCCAAGATGACACAAGAAGGCTACAAGACGGCCCAAGAGGCGCCCACGAGGACCCAAAGGCAGTCACAAGAATGGGCCCAGATGGGGAATCCAACCGGACATTTCGAGCCCTCGGTCCCGAGGGGCCCCCGAGGAGGCCCCAAGAAGCCCCCAAGAGGCCCCCAAGAGGCCCCCAAGAGGCCCCAAGGAGGCCCCGAAGATGCCCCAAGAGACACCCAAGAGACACCCAAGAGGCCCCCAGAAGGCCCCCCAAAGGCTCCCAAGAGGCTCCCAAACGGCTCCCAAACTGCTCCCAAGAGGCCATCTAGAGCGCGCCGAAGAGACCCGAAGAACCACCCCTGAGAACTCTGACCCACAACCCAGTCACGGGTGGCGGGATGGGCCGAAGGACATTCGATCATCTGGGACTGACTGGTTGGTCTGGGTGAAGACGACGTCCCCGATCAGAGACCACGTCACACCGATGCCGTAGTACTTCCAGAGATTGCGCCGGCTGATAGGTGAAGACAGATACTCTTCTGTTAAAGTCGTTGCCCAACATCGATACCAAAATGGTGGCCAAATGACGCAACATCCAATGCCATCCGACGGTAGCCGGCGCCTGCATGCTGCCAACAAGGGCTCCGTGTGCATTCCTGCGGGGCCGCTCTGCACTCCGAAGCCCGCGCCCCTGTGAGGAGACGGGCTGCTGGTGGCGTTCAGCAGAGAACCTTGAGATAGAAGGCCACAGGTGACTTCTGCCGCATACAGCGTAACGCCTACACCACTGCTGAGAGTTAAGGACACTTTAAGCTAAGGACATAAACTTCACTGCACGCGCTTTCTGAAGCAGTTTTCTTGGTCCGAATATACTAGTTCGATTGGAAACAATACGCTCCCAAAAGCGCACATGGTCCAATCCGGATTCTCGATTTCTGAAGCGAAGCGAAATCCAGAGTCCATGAACGCTGATATTTCTTTTTGAAACTTCTGATGGGTACACCACACAGGCCACCATTCTGGAGAGAAGGAGGTTAGGAGGGGCGATCCGTGCAACTTTCACTTTGCGATTGGCGTCGGGTTGGGTTCGCGATATATCCCTCGAACGATCTCAATACTTACATTTCGATCTCTGTAGCTTCCATTTCCACTACCAAACATTAGTTCGATCTTTTTGTCTGCCGATCCCACTACCAATGGATATGTCGACCTTGCTATCCACCGTCCTCACTGTCAACCCACCAGTATCGCTGTACCTGTATACATATGTATATACGTACATCGTGTATCGTTCGGTCTGACAACTTCTGTACCGATCTCACTATCAATCAACCGACTGCCCCCGCAACTACTTTGTATAGCACGCTGCCAGTATATAAAGTAAACAACTGGTCTCACAATCACTCCCTCTCACAACCTACCTATTGATCTCACACCCAAGATCCGCCACCGTGCCTCTGGGCATGGAATGGGCGTGCCCTCAGGTCCTTTACCTCATCTCTGGAGCCTCAGTTCTCAGTGCTGAACAATCTTTAAGGGGCCACGGGTAACGCGCAATACTAGAGTGTGCGTCCTTGCTCTGTTGCCAAAGCACCACAGTCGACCAAAGCTCGAGAAACACCAACTCACGCATCTGACTTCAACGTCGACACGGGACAGCGCACGACCAAGATTGCCAGAACATATTCGCTCACACAATAAGCAAAACACCAACACCACAACCAATCCGCCAACGTGTCTCTGGGCATGGAGTGGGCGTGTCCTTAGGTCCTTTGCCTCATCCCTGGAGCCTCAGTTCTCAGTCCCATTTGAAGTTAAGCCGGGCCTGTCCCCCTACAGGGGGATTGTCGACGACAGATTAAACATACCCCAAACATGGTCAACATATTGTCCAAAAATAGTATGGGGACTATTTCGGGGGTATTGTTTGACCTTTTTGGGTATGCTTGGAGTATTTTTTATGTTTCGTCGAAAATCCCCCTGTAGGGACACACGCCCGACTTAAACTTAAGGGGCCCAGGCT